TTCAGACACACGCCGGGCTTTTTGACGTGCGGTGGTCGCATTGGTTTCCATCTTATGCTTTTTATTCTTCTCTCTCCTTATCTTCAACTCCCGTTTGTCTTCTTTACTGTCTTCACAAGCACGACCATCGCTTCTCCTTCTTCTCCCGCCACCGTCGCCGGCCGAGGAGGTGGAGGCCGTCGTGACTGCTTTGCAGGCCTTTTTTACTTTCTTGCGCCGTCAGTCAAGCTTGCCGAACGAATCTGTTGCTTGGTCTCCAGTCTCCTTGCCATTTGCTCGCTCTCTAACCTCTCCTCACATGCACTAAACTATTCGTCCTTGGCTTTCTTGTCCTTGGTTATCCTCCTTTTATTTCTTAACTTAACTGTGTCTTGCTTTGTTGTCTTTTTCCTTTTTATTCTGATGTAGATGTCATATCTTTCAATTTTAATTTGATTTTAAAAATTAAGATTTTTTATTATCAATATATTTTTATATTTTTAACTTACTTTTCCAAAAAAAAAATTATAATTTTGAGTTTAATATTTTTCTAAAAATATCAAATTAGTCACAAAAATATACTCCCTCTATTTAAAAATGTAATGTATTTTTTAAGGAGTTAAATATTTAAAAATATAAGACATTTTTAATCTTTCGAGGTGTAATCATTGCATTTTTTTTAAAAATATCCCTATTGATAATGACTTTATAATTATTGTAGGGTGTTTAATAGAGATAAATATGAAAATATAGGGTTAGTTAGAAAGTATGTAACTACTTTATTAAAAGGTGAGACTCGATTAAAAATTTTTTACATTTTTAAATAGAGGGAGTATACAATAAAATTCATGCATACTTTTTATTGTTATATATTTTAATGGAGTTTTGAATCAAATCATTTAATATGAATTTTAATTTATCCACCTGACTTCTAAAATTATTACAATCACATACTTTTATCTTAATCTCAATTGATTCTAACATCAATAGAAATTTTTTTTAATTCAAACACATCTTAAATAGATTTTCAATTTGCACAGGCTTTAAGTAGGGTGAAAAAAGTTGTGCTCCTTTCTATCTTTATTAAAAAATATTTTTAATTATTTTATGTATTTTAAAAAATTAATTTTTAATATCATAAAAAATAACATATACTTTTATTTTTATTTTTAATTTTAAATAATAATATAATTACATTAAATACTATTATGCTAACTTAAAAAGATAAATTTAAAAAAGAAATTTAATTATCACAAAATATTTATATTTTAAATTAAAAATTATTTTTAAAAAATGTTTTATAAATAATAACAAGCTGTAGGGTAACTTGTAGCCTCTGGTTTACCTAGTCTAGATCCTCTCAAAAGCAACTTTCTCTGCCCACCCCAAAATGACAGTTGCCTAATTCATCCAAGGTGTTTAAAAGGAGACACATCATCCTGCTCTTAAAATTGCACCCCATCGTCCACTGTATTATCATAGCCGTCTAGTTCACAAACAATTAAGTCTGACTGCATTCTGTGCTTATCATGGGGACATGGTATGTATCAAATTTACATCGTCTAGATTTAATTTTAATAGTTTATATTTATTTTTTATTTTTTATTTTATTTTTATCTTTTATTTTTATCAAGGTAAAAATTTATGCAATTTTTAATAAATATGCTCATCATCAATTTAAATATTTAAATTATTTAAATTTAATATTAAAAAGTAAAAATTTGTATAAATTTTTATAAATTGATTCCTCATATTTCACAACTTCAATAAAGTTTATACTTTTAATTTTTTAAGTTAAAATATCTAAAATTCTCTTAAAGTTTAAGGCAGTTGTACAAAATCTCTCATATTTAAAAGTTTAAAATTAATTTTCTTAACTTTTTTTTAACCAATAATCTCTTACTATTATTTCATAAATATCAAACATTTTATGTAGCATCCAATGTGTCATGATCACAAGCCCTTCAAGTAGAATTTACTCTCAAAAGGCACCTTATAAGAGAGAGTGTCTAGCTGACTTATAAACAACATTTTACCAATATAGCTTCTCGATGTGTAATTCACAATATAATAGAAGCTAATAATAATTTTGTCAGACCTTTGTCCATATTTTTTTGTTCTTTTTAGTTAACATCAGATGTCACGTAAACGGTTATGTATTTTTTTTAATATGACATTTGAACAATTTAAATATGTGGATTAATGATGAGTATGTTTAATAGAAATTTTATCAATTTTTATTTTGATAAATATAAAATAAAAAAAATTAAATTTAGACAGATCTGAGCACCAGGAGCAATGCAATCTCAACTTGATTCAATTGTTTGTGAATTGGACGGGCATGAATATAACAGTGGATGGTGAGGATGCAATTTTAGAAATAAGTCGATGTGTCTCTTGCTAAATACTTCGGATCAATAAGACGGCTGAAATTTTGAGACTCGATCGCAAGGTCGTGAAGAAAGTTGCGTCTGAGAGGATCTGCTCCCCTGATCTATTGGCATATTTTATTAAAACCTAATTTGATTTAGCTTATTTTCATCTGCCCCTTGGCATGCTTAAGTACGACGAGGAAATCAAGTGACATGTGACGAGAAGATTATTAAGCGGGAGATAAGTGAATGAGATTGCGGTTATTTGAACTTGAAAAACGTAGTGCGTGTAAGATTAGAATTTAAGTAGACATTGTGTAAGAATGAGAAATTAAATAAAAGCTAGTTAAAATAAAAAAAATTAAAAGTAAAGACATAATCCATCCGTTCAAAAATATAAAATATTTTTTAAAATAATTACTTATCTTCAAACTAACCCTATCTTTTTATATTTACTCATATTTAATAAAATATTTCACCCTAAATTAAATATAAAGTAACTTATTCAATAGATGCATTTTTAAAGAAAAGGTAATAATTGTATTTTAAAAAACTAAAAATATCCTATATTTTTTAACATTCAACTCCTAAAAAAATATTTTATATTTTTGAATAGAAGGAATATATACTAACTCAAGTTCAATCCTTATTTTTTTTAAGTGCTTTTAAATTAAAACTTTGTAAAGTCTCTCTCTTTTTTTTCTCTCTTCCTTCTATTTTTAAAATCCGACTCCAAGGTATGTATGAGTAATATCACTTAATAAAAAATAATTTTTTAAATAATACTTAAATTTTTTAAGAGATTAATCTTATAATTATTGGTTATGAAAATATTTTAGGAGAAAAAAAATATTAGAAGTATATAAAAAAAACGGCTCAAATTCATGGCTGTAGTTAAATATTTGTAATACGTCTTTCCTACCTTTCATGTTAAAAGCTGGAATATTAAACTTTAGTTACCATTTTTTTCACATGTCAAGATTGAGTTTTGGAAACCCTGTTAAATTCCTTCACTCATTAAAGTTTCTCCATTTTCAGAAAAGCTAACGTGAAATTTTGGGAGAGCGTGTTGTACAAATTTGACACCCACTTTTTCACAATTCACCGGAAATAACCTACAACTGATGTTTTAAAATATAAAATGAAACATTTTAGAAGAAGGATTAATTATGCTATTTCGAAGGTCCTTTATTAAAATTTTGTAAATTTTTTGTCACTCTCTATTTCAATTGATTAAATTAAAAAATAAATAAAAAGAAGTGCTCGTTGGCTTGGATTCCTCAGGGCACAAGAAGACGCCAAATTAGTCGAATAATATTTAACTTTGGAGAATTCTTTCTTTCTTTTTATCAGCAACTCTGGAGAATTCTACTCTCTCTCACACAAAAGAGAGAGAGAGAGAGAGAGAGAGAGAGAGAGGATTAACACAATTAAAAAGAATGATAGTTTGCTTATCTCATTCTTCAAATACAACAAGGGAGTAAAAAAAAAATGTACACTTTGCTTTGTCAAACCTTCTTTTAAGAAAATAAAATTTCATTTTGAGAGACATTATGGAGTTTAACTTCATTAGCCCCCCACTTTCAATGTTTTTGTTCTTATGCTGTAATTTTCCGATTCTATTCCCTGAATCAATTCGGTGCTTGCCACACAATCCATTGATATTTACATAATTGATTTTTGCGAAAAAAAATACGATATATAATAACAAGAGAGAAGAGGAGAATATTCTGAAGAATGACCTGGAAAGAAAAGAGAAAATATCATGTAAGGATTCGTGAGATAATTTAACATAAAAAAATTAAAAGATTATAAAATATTACTACAAAACAAGGGGATTGATTTTAAAAAATATAAATAAATTATAATACCCTTACTTCTTTTAATAAATAAGTAGCCATTTGTTATTAATAAGTATCCATTTATATTTAATAAAAAATTATTCACTAATTAATAAGTTTAAAAACTTGGAAGAGCTTAGTTGTTGGAAAAAAGAAATGTGGATCATGTTTCAATAAGAAAACACTCATTAATTATTAAGTATTCATTCACATTTAACAAGAAGTCATTCATTAATTAAAAATTTTAAGAATTTGAAAGAATCTTATTGTAATAAATGATAAGTAGAGTTCATGTTTTAACAAGTAGTTATTTGTTTATTAACAAGTACACTGTATTTATAAAAAGTTATTATCTAATTGATAAGTTTAAAAATTTAAAAAATTTTAATTTTGAGTAAAGAGAAGTGTAGATTATGTTTTAATAAATAATTATTTATTAATTAATAAGTATTTATTTATATTTAATAAAAATTATTTACTAATCGATAGGTTTTAAAAAAGAAAAAAATAGAAATATTATAAATTTTTTATCTAAAATTATTTTTAAATTCATTTTCTGATTTTATAATAATATTTTAAAATATTTTTGTTTTTGTCTGTCATTAAATATTCTCAACAGTATTTGAGTGATATTTTTTCAAGAAAAGAAAAAGAAAAAATAGGAACAAAGCAAGAAGAGATTTGGTAGAGAATTATGGTCAAGCTAATTGCGGTTGAGGTCCAATTCGCAGCGCAAATGACACACTTCACACGCACGATTACATAGGCGCGTAATCTCTCTCTCTCGCTCTCTCTCTCTCTCTCTCTCTGCCTGTAAAGACAAAATCCGCGGATCTATCTCCACGCACCATCTCCATTCATCTCCTCCACTCTCCCTCTGAACCCCTTTCCTCTCCTTTCTCTCTTTATCTCTACCTCCTCACGTCCTCTAATTCTGGTTCCTGCCCAGCTTCACCCTCTTCAGTCTCGACACACCCTGATTCGGCTTCTGTTGTTAATTCTCTGGCATGCCCTTTTCGTTCCTAGATCTTGCCCTAACTCACTCCCTACACTTACCCCTCTGACCCTTCAATCCGCGCGTCGGAATTTCCCAGCGCGATCTGTTCTGACCTAGTTGTTCCTGCTCCTCGATTTCCTCTTCCGTAACCCTATTTAATCCGTCTGCAATGGCCTCTTTCCGCTCAGATCTAACATCCAGAATTCACCCTGAGCCCGATGTCGAGGATGTCGACCACTTTGATCGCTTGCCGGATTCTCTGCTTCTCCTAGTCTTCAACAAGATCGGCGATGTGAAGGCTCTCGGTCGCTGCTGTGTCGTTTCCCGCAGATTTCACTCTCTCGTTCCCCAGGTGGAGAAGGTTGTTGTTCGTGTCGACTGTGTTATCTCCGACGATGATTCCTCCTCCTCCGCTGTTTCCTCTGACAAATCCCGCGGTCCCTTCTCTAATCTCTGTCGGCTACTTTTCGGTGGCATTGTCAAGCCCCTTCAAGCTCTGGGGCAGTTCTTGGGTCCCAAAAGAGCCTCTTCGAGTTCCGGTCCTTCGTCTTCGTCCACCTCTCTGGCCGTTGGGAGTGAAGAAGACGGGGAGGGCGATCAAGGCGTTGTGACTCATCACTCACCGACCCAAGTTTTGAAGAATTTCAATGAGATTCGATTCCTTCGGATTGAGCTGCCCAGTGGAGAACTAGGAATAGAAGATGGGGTTTTGTTAAAATGGAGAGCTGATTTTGGGTCCACTTTGGATAACTGTGTGATCTTGGGCGCTTCTTCGGTTGTGTACCCTGGACCAACAAAGTCTTTGTGCCCCCAGGAAGGGGGTTCTGATGCCGGATGTGGGAACAGTGGCGGTGACGACAATGGAAGCATACCTGACTCGTTTTACACAAACGGGGGTCTGAAACTTAGAGTTGTTTGGACAATTAGCTCTTTGATAGCTGCTTCCGCAAGGCATTACTTGCTGCAACCCATCATTTCAGAGCATAAAACATTGGATAATTTAGTTTTGACAGATGCAGATGGGCAGGGTGTTTTGTCTATGAATAGAGACCAGCTTGAGGAGCTCAGAGTGAAGCCACTGTCAGCGTCTTCAGCATCGAAGAGGACTCTTGTACCCGCGCTCAATATGAGGCTATGGTATGCTCCTCACTTGGAATTGCCTGATGGGGTTGTTTTGAAGGGTGCGACCCTTGTTGCCATTAGACCTAGTGAGCTGTCCTCCACGGCAAAGAAGGAAGTCTCTGATGTGTCCTGGGTTTCAACAGCATTTGGGGAGCCGTATGGGGCGGCAGCAAGGATGCTGGTTAAGAGGCGGACATACTGTCTTGAGATGAACTCTTTCTGATTATACGAGCCTTTGGGTCCGTGGTAAGTTTTATAAATTTGCCCGTTCTTGTTATGTGCAAGCAGTCTTTTGTTTCCTAGGCGTACTTCAATTCAATATAAAAAATGGAAGTGTTCCTCTTGCTTCCGAAACAAAAAGCTTATATATATTTGGAAAAAGTTATGGAGAATGAATGAATGATCATAATGGACTAATATCCGACAAACTGGTGTGAGTGTGTATTTGCCTGCTAAATGAATATGCCAGAGCCCGGGGCTGAAATGATGCATGGGCAATTGAGCCCTCTAAGGAATTTTTACGCAGTTTTCTAATTTCTGTCAGGCAATCAATCCACTTAGCTCTTTATATTTATTGCATCACTTGAATTGAATGTCAATTTCATAATTGGGGATAATTGCTTTAACTTGGGAGATGGAGAGTGAGAGAGCCCAACTTACAAAATCCTCCTTTCTTAGATTGGAAGGCTGCTTTGATTGTTCTTTTGATATTAATTTTGTGCTGGTTTATTTTTCACTTGATTACTTTTACGCGGTTTCACCACTCTAATATATTTGTTAAAATCGGGCCGTTTCAGGGAAAGCGAAATCATGTGAGAAATAGGGAAACATGGTACTTCCTGAAAGAAAGAACGAGAAAGGGCAATTTTTCTTGGAGGGTGCATGGAGTTAGGCACCAATGGGAAGATGAATTTTGCTCTTCCTTACCTTTCAAGCTGCGGCCACAGTGGAATGATAGATTAAAGAGCTGCCGGTCATTGGGCTGTTGTGCTTGAACTGTTAACTAAATGCATCTGCTGGGTTTTTTTGGTTGAGGCAATACTTGTAAGATTGTGCACCTGCCTGTAACAGCTGAGTTTGTAGTTATCTTTTTCTATTCTCAGTGATCCCTCTGTGAATATTCTAGCAGGTACTAGTTTGGTATGTTTTTGTGATATATTCTTCTAAAGTGAAATGAGCAATGTGCTTTGCATCTGTAAGTTTAAATGACTTCTGGACAAACCAATCCTATTCATGCAATACTGGTTCCTGCACCTACTCACTGCTATTCGGTGTTTTGCTCGGCCAAGTCAAGGTTACGAGCATGTAGAAATGTGTGGGAAAACATTCGGCAGAACGATTCATCTAATTACGTTTTACGTACTCTTAAACAATTCGAGTGGTGCCACTGCTATTATTTTCTTAAATGAGTGATCATTTTATGTGAATAGATTAAATAAAGTTTTGCTTTAAATTGATTCACACAGGAAGCGTGATCCCCCCCCCCCCAACCCCCCCTTTTTTTAGCTATTTTTGTCCATAATACGGGTACTGTTTTTTCCCCCCCAAAATTTAGGTTGATATTTTTAATAAAAAAATTGCTTAGCTATGTCTATGTTGAAGAATTTATTGGTAAAAAAGTAAAAGATTGTACGTAAAGATTTTTCCCATTACTATAGAAAAATAATATACTCAGGATATATTTAGTTGGTAAAATAATTGAATTTGCAGCGCTGGCAAGAGTACCAACTGCAGACAGTTACACGCTTGATGAGTGCACATACTTTAGCAAAGTAGACTAGGTAGCACATGTGGGATGTGTCTGGTGGATAATTGATGCTTAATTAAGTTGCAAAATTTTTATGATTCATCAGTCACATGATGTCTAGTGGTTGTTTTTGATTGCCTATAAAAGCGCTTGATTGGTGGCTTTTTTTCTGGTTAGGTTGATGACTTTTATGGCAATAGATACCATCACATATCAGGGATTCTATTCTGAGTTTAAAGTAACTCAATTATTTAGTAGCAGTAATTCTTTTTCAACCCGAAACAAAATTATTACACGATTAGCAGTAAGGTAAAAACGTGAGCCATGATTAATGCTACAGAAATCCATAGCCTGCATGATTGTGTTATTTGGGGTAAGATTTGACACCAACATCACTAGTACCCCTATTCAATTGCTCAATAAAATGAGAACAACATCATCACCATGTCTTTAATTTTAAACTCGCCCACCTCTTTAAATACTGTAAATTATTATCAATGTGCTATCCTATCTCCTGACAATTTCAATAATTATTTCGTCCTATAATTTTTAAATTAAAATCCATTAAAAGTGCCACGGGCCCATTTGTAAGCCCAAGTTTTTCTTTCATTAATTATAATTAATCATGTTGAAGGCAATGCCCCTTTATTAGATCTTTGTACAAACTAGCAAGTCTGAACTTTATCGAAAGGTAGTTTTCGTGGAAGACGGGGAAAAAGGCTTTTGAAAGCAGGTTTGGTGTGTGATAGATGAAGTTGTCCACTTCAAGATCGGATTTTGAACATTCTTATGGTTGGTGGTTCACTGATCTTAACCAATGGAAAGCATGGGTTGGATAAGAAACTTGGTGGGGTGACCTTGTTTTGAGGTGTAAACAAGTCTGGTCTGGAAGCTGAGTTTGCTGCTGAAAATCTGAATTGAAAATAATAATTCAGTCTTTGTCTACAAAGACAAGTCTCCATGACCATTACATTCTGGACAGAATGGAACAAGCAGGGGTGGGTCATGGGAGTGTCCGGACCATCAGATATTTACCTCTGTGCCATGACTTTCTTAACACTCCTGTCTGAATTTTTCTGGAAGATCCTTCCTTTTGCTTCCCAAAGCAGCTTTTGTCCGTCCTGGTTAACTGAGACACAGCACAAATGAATGAGACGTATGATCCCAAGCTTCTTGATCTATTCAGAACTCGAAACTTCTAAGACAAGGCCTAAGACTCGCTTTTAAAATGTGTTCTTCGAGCGCTTCAACTTTAAGTAAATATTAAATTTTCATGATTATTGTTGGTCAGTACTTTGTCCCGTACCAGAGGAATTTGCTTTCTCTAAAATTACTTTCATTTCATATAAATGCTATCATACTCCTAATGAGTTAGAAATCATTAATGTTCCATTTTGTTAGTTTCTGTTTGTATAGGTCAACTTAGAATTTTAATAAGCATGATTAACTTGGAATAAAATCTCTTATTATTTTTTAAATCCAAACATGTACGTTCCGAATTGTTCTTTAGAGGGCTCATAAATGTCACTTTAGAACTGCAGGCATTCCAGTTGTGAATGACAGGTCATGGCTGCCTCCTAGAACCGACCTTCCATTTTTCTTCACTCAAACAATAATTCATATTCTTAATCATTTATTAGCTTAATTAGCTGTTTCCGGCTTTCTGGTTCCAACTTTATCTGTTTATCACGTGAGGTATCTTGGCTTCGTACACTTCTAGTCCCACGTGAAATGAGGTATATCAACTCTATTACTCAAAAGAACACAAGCTTTTGCGCTCTCTAAGGAACAGGTCTTCTTCCTCAATACAATCTTTTAGCCTGTGGCTATCATTTTCAATGATTCCTTTGTATTCTTATTCCACATTCATTGGCGATATAATTATTTGCATGTATAATATAATACAAAGATGCAAAGCTCAGATTATAATTGATGTCACTTTCTATTTTATTCCACCCAAGTTTTAAAATTGTAGTGCAAGAGTAGATACATCCAAATGGAAGAATATATAGGGAACAGAATATGGTGAAGAAGCCCCCACATGCTAATTTATATGCCGGCAGAGGCTGTGACACAAAGAAGTTGATGAGTTAGTGGGAGATATTAATTATTAATGATAATATATTATGGATGCACTAAGGAGCAGGCAGGGTAGTGATAGGAAGAAGAAAATTATGTTTATGTTTGGATCACTGGATTAACTAATAATTGTGTTTAGCATGATCATGAATCATGACCCACCAACAGCATTTTGGGACATTGCAGGTGGCACTTGCAACTTCTGTGTCTCTTTTTGGCTTTTGATAGAAATTAGTTACTGCATGAACTTAGGAAAATAACTGTGATGTATCTTTTTATGAAAATGCTGCAAGATCATGGTTTTACAAACACCTGCATTTGCTTCATTTTACAGAAAAATGACATTCAACTCTGCAACGAAAATCTGCACATATCTCTTGGCTTTTGCCCTTTCTTTCTTTCTTTTTTTTTTTTTCCCAGGCTAAAGCCGATCTGATATTCTCTTTTTTAGGTAGAAGTTGCTTTAATTTTACTTTAGCAGAGCAACTAAGCTTTGCTGCCACCATGCCTTTTTTATCATTTTTATTTGTTTTACTTCTTTAAGGATACACTCATTTGTACTTTCCTTTTTTAATGTGTCTTCTCTTCCTCAACCAGAAGGAGTGGGTTAAAAAGCTGTAAGTAGGAAGGGCACATGCATCAAACAGACCCAAAAATAAGTTGAGTTGAACATTTAGTTTGGTAGATGAGGGAAATACAAAAATTAAATAACATGAATGAAAATGCAGAATGTAAGCAAGTGCAGCAGATTCCAAAACGAAACAAAACACTTCTGCACAGCTGTCTTTTAAAAAAAAAAAAAACTCAACTAGGTTTACTTGATCTCATAGAACATTCTATACAGTTAAGTGCTGTTTGGTTAAATAAAAGTATATGTTTTGGGAAGAGAAATGACATTGAATTCATGATTCATGATTATCAGATTGGATTCGGGTTATGCTGTGGGGAAGCCTGAAGAATTACAGCACCCATTAGTAGACTAATTCCCGGACCTTTCCTAAGCCAAAATGGAATAGACAATTTCAAAATAGACTTGCAAGAACCCCAAGAATAGGTAAACAAGTTCAATCATGTTTCTTTACATTCCATCAACATACTAAACGATCTGCACGCTCAGACCAATAGATACTTAACCAAATGCAAAGTGAAAGACTTCAAAGTGATCCAAGTTAAAACACCAACAATTGATCACAAAAACGTACCATCTCATGTGTCCAAGGCCAAGCTTACAGACACAACTTCTTGCTACTAGCACTTATCTCTTGGTGTCCTGCATCAAATAAACCCACAACAACGAGTATCAGAAGGGAAATCTGTGCACAGTACTTGCAAATCAAACGCAAGCAATTATATGTTGTTTATCTTTAGAAAGTGAAAAAATGAGGTTATAAATTTAAAACAAGCACGCCCTGGAAGTATATATAGAAGTTCCCTGATACTTAAAAACCAAGAAAGAGCATTCCGATACCTAAATAAAAATAATCTTATTGGTAGATTAGTCACGAGCTCACTATAGATTTGATGAGCCCGTTGACTTGGAAGGAGCTTATTTCCTTATTTACTTGCAGGGTATGTAAGATTTGAATAAATGCCTACATGGGAAGGTACAACCCCATTATGAGTGATTTCTGCTTGCAGAGATCGACCTTTTCGAGTTGAATTACAAAGACACATCAAAATAAAATTTTCAGAAAAGTTATTCGTGACAGTGTCCTCTAGACAGTATATTCATACATTTCTTGCGGCTCATGTCACACAGTAATAACGACAATGATACTAGTAGAACGAGTTTTTGACAATCTTCGAATCTGGTTGTTCTCTTCACTTCAGAATGCCAGACAATCAATAGATTGAGTTTCAGCGATCTGTCTCTCGAGGGAAATTCACCTGGATCGTTCAGTGAATCTGTCAATACTAAGTGTCTTCGTATATGCCAAATAATATCGATTATATAATTTGGATAACTGACTGAGTTTACTTGGCTATTACAATCATTCAAGTTCAACATTGGGGTGGAGTCATATATACTAATATGCTTCGGAGGAATCTAAAAGTGCTTCTATAGAATCTAGGCTTGCTGTATATATCTATCATACCTGGTGCTCTTCTATGGCAGCTTAGTGTGTGTTTGGGTGTCCGTTTTAGACCCCAAAATGAACGCCTAAGCATGTTCTTGCTCTTTAGGCGGGTGTCAAAACTTTTGAAGGTTTTTCACTACCAATACCTTTTTACCAAGATGAACTTAAGAGTATAATTTGGTAATATATCTAGTTACAGAAGTATTCATGAGGTTATAGAATTTCGCTTTTTGCCAATACCCAGTAAGCAGAAACGCAAGTGAAGAACCAGAGTCCAAAACCTCTGCAAAATGTAGAGGTAACATAGCATGCTTCACCTTTCAAAAGTGCAACACTCAGGCCAAACTAACTACGTAGACTACACATCTGCTAGTTCCTCTTCTAGTTATCTCATGCATTACCATCCCACAAAGCCCTTTCCCTCTCAAACCATTCCCGAACTGGACTGCCCAAAATAATCACTGCTAAGTCGAACAACGCAAAGGCCTAAAATATAGATGGTCGACTCAAGAAATCAACAAAAATCAATCCCGCATTTTTTTCACAAATACGGTCACAGTTAACAACTTGATGTGATTGCAAGACCTAATACAATCCTCCAGTCGCTACAAATTAAAACATTCTTCTTATTAGTTAACCAAGCGAAGAAACAAGGGAGCAGTTTATTATGTTATATATTATATCTCAAGAGTGAAAGATGTATACATACATACATACATATATAAGTAGTTGAGAAATGACTTAAGATCAGACTTATGCACCAAAGTAGAAGTGCCTAAATATCCATGGTCATCTTCATTTTGAAATTAAAGTATCCTAGGACGCATTATCAAAAAGTATCCTAGGAAAGGTAAGCCCTAATATAAATGAGATCTATGTTCATCATCTCTTGTTCAATGGATGTATTTTCACCTTTGGAAAGCTCAAAGGTCAAAATTGTCCTAAATCTGATTTCATGATCAGGTCTTTTCCCCAAATCAGACCTCAGTTTGTGACTCGATCGGTTCAGATCACTTTTTTTTCTCTCCTCAGCTTCCTGCTTGCTTGTTTTCTCTTTGTTGGCATGATCAGGCCATATGCTGGAGACTAGGTGCAGAAATATATCATGCATCCAAAAATGTCTAAATCCATGCGGATATGGCATTGCAAAAAATGTCAATCAAACCCCATTCACTGTATGGTTCTCTTTCCTCTTATATTAATAAGCTACACATGGGAGTGACCTTGGAGAACTATACTTTCATAAACCATTGAAGTTTTGCGAAAACAATACATCTCAACCATAGCATTATATATATGGGATCGAGTATCAAAGAGCATAAAAAAGTTGCCAACTTGCACCAATTGATAGGGATTCACAGACAAGAAGAGCAATTTGTATATGGCTATTTCATTCATGGAGCAGCTCACGACATTCAATGTCATGCAAAGAAAAGAAAAAGGAGGGGGGGGGGGGCTACCATGACTCTTGACGGATAGTAAATGATTAATTGGTATGCCTTACATAAAACAAACGATTTATGATCCCTTCAATATTCATATAATGGGGGCAGTGTACATTAAGGTTTGGGTTAATGCATATAACAAAACGTGTTTTCCCGTCCATAGCACAAAATCTAAAATAAGTCAAAAACTGTTCATGTTATGAAAACTTTATGACTTATTATAGATTTTACATCTCATATTGATGGATGATTTTCTTACTATCCTTACCGACTAGAGCTTTTAATTGGTTTGGAAATTATTTTTTATGACAAAATTAAATCATATCCTATTTGATGGAACTCACTTAATTGTCTCAGGTAGGAAATTTATGTTAAACATCCCGACTAGTAAACTAAAACTACCAGTTGGTAAAACATACTCCTTTGGTCCTTTATATAGGAGTAGAAAGAGAAGATTAATTTATGATTATATTTATAAGACACTTTACTATGTCTATGTTCATCTTCACCTTACTATATTTATTAAATGTCACATGGATTCTATAGAAGGTATCCAACTGATCAAGAAGGGAGGAGGGGGTAAATTCACTACGAGCTGTTATTCAGGAGGTGAGAGACTTGATTTTTAGTGGCTGCAATGTGGAAATTATGTATTCATAAAGGGAGATGATTAGATTAGCATATTGGCTTGCTAAGGAAGCTCAAAATAGAGAGAGGATGATTTGATCATTTGGTATGAACCTCTAATGGAATGTAATGACCTATATTGGTCGGACAAGAGGATCTAATTTCTTCCAAGCTTAGAGCTATTTTTATTTACTCAAAAAAAATATTTATTAAATACTAAGAAAAATTATTAAAAGTAGTTTTTTTTTGTCTTTTTTGAAGGGTAAAGATGAAAACTTATTAAATTTTAAAATAAAATTAATGAGATTTAAGGCTTCTTTTGATTTCATGAAAACATGTAAAATGACTTATTTATAGAATAAGAGAGAGTAGTATTTCATTTCTATTATTTTGATAACATGTTTAATTTGTATGTTTTACATATGAATTATGAATTTATGTAATGTCAAAATTTATATCAATAAGGCGTGTAGTGTTATTTCAATAATAGATTTAGGAATTTGGACTGTCAAAATTTTATATTTTATTCTTTTAAAATTATTTAACATTCTACTATATTTTCTAAAAATTTTATGGCTACAAAATTACTTTTCTTTGATATAGTTTTTTAAATAACAAAGGATACAAAATTAATACATATATATATATATATATATATATATATCACAAAAGGACCATCCTAATTCATAATTCAATCCCAATGGTTGAAATTTGCTGTCTAAACGACAGTGGAGAGATACTCCATTACTCCTAATGCCTTATTTTCTGCGAATCTTGACTCTTAATGTTGTGTCAATTTTAAAGCTATGTTAAAAATTCTCTTTAATGCGATTTTTATTGTTAGAAAATTTTTTATTTTAAATCATTTAAACAGTTTTCTAATATTTCTCTTATAAGGTGGACAAAAATGTGCATATGTACTTTTATTGCATTATAAATATAAATATAAATATAAAACTTATATATTTATGTCCCATTGATTTTTGACTATCTACTACCTTTATTTAAAAATATAAGGTATAGTTATTTATTTTTAAATTAACATTATTTTTATATTTACTTTTATTTAATGGGGTGTTTTGTTTTAAAATAAATATAAAATAATTTAATTATTAGGGGCATTTGAAAAAATGATTACATTTTGAAATATTAAAAGTACTTTATATTTTCTAAGCCTCAAAAAATACCTCACAAGGAGCATTTATTTTTATCATTTATTTCTTCTGTCTCAAATGATAAGACACTTTTAAATAAATTTTATATATTAATAAATATTATCAAATACACTTAATAATTTTATCTTTTTAAAATAAAAATATAAGCTTTTAAAAATATTTATAATTTAATATATTAAAAAAATAAAAATTAATTATAAAGAGAGAAATGATAATATTAAAATTAATACATTTAATAAAATTATAATTTTTTTAAAATATTTTATATTTTAATATGAAAATTTTGTTTAAAGATGTTCTGTAATCTTGGACTGAGGGAGTATTAAAATATATATATATATTTTTTTTTTGGGGGCCAGCACAGTCAATTCAAATTTCAAATAAGGGATATCGTAAACTGTGAATGATTCCAGCTAAAGCTACACTAAAATGCATAGGGTCTGGATGAGTCAGTGCTGATAACCTATTGTCTGTACTCGCAATTCTCTCTCTTAATAATAATGCATGAGGTTCGTTTGAATTTGATGCTGGGGGTGTCAAGTCAAGCATGCCTACGTGCATGATCCTTTCACCATTACATGGAAAAGGAAAGGTCCTCCATTTATGATTCTCACATCTTGTCGACAGAACCCTCATCACTCATCAGTGCCGTCTGGCGCTGCTGCTTGGGAGTGAGAAAAACAAATAGGGATCATAAAGCTGCTCTTTTAACGCTCATTGTGATTAATAAAGCAATTTTAGGCTCTCCTTCTTGTCCTGCACACTTAACTATACCCCACTCAACGCCCTAGACATGGTTTTCGCTACACACAAGCTTACACCTGTCACGGACACCCCTATTTGTTGCAGAGCAGGGAATCAACCGTAGTGCAAAACCAGGAGACAACCAGCCAATACGGATCACGAAACTCCATGCAGGAATCATCAAAAGACAGCTTATAAAACAGACATCGCCCATCATAAAAAAATATCACCAACGGTATGATTAACTAGAAAGTAAACGGCTCATTCCTCATGCCATTGCACGTAACACGTCTATCAAAGTGCTATTTTCTTTTGATGAAAAGACATTCAAATTTTGTGTCATCCTAAGTTACAATTGAGAGTCGTATGCACCAACAGTCCCAGAGAAGTCAAAAAAAAAATGCAAGGGCGATGCACGTAATTAATTAAATCAATATAATATAAAGGGGAATGAAAAAAATAAAATAAAGATGATTTATTTGGAAAAATTACCAGGACGATGTAGCAAGGGAAATGTGGCGGGTCGCAGGTAGTAATCAGTTCTTGCCTTTGCCCTTGTGGTCAGAATGGCGGGTTAAATCGCCATAGCATAGTTGCAAGCGGCCATCAAATCCAGGCGAGAACATATGCTGGTGATTCTCCATTGTTGGCGCAGCAGCGGCAGCTCCTATGAAGAAAGGTAGACTGGATCCGTCTAAAGGAGAAGAAGAAAACCTCTGAAGAGGGTGAGGCAAAACAGATGGTGAATTGGACTGAAGGGTCCCCCTGTTGAAACCAGCAAGGCCTGGAGAAGAAGAGATGGTGAAGTTAAGGTTGTAATCGCTGCTTCCGCTGGGTATGAGATGGTCAGGAATGAATGAGAAATGCTGCAGCTGATCCGGGTGATTTTCACTCCCCACGTTGAAAGGCGAAACAGACAGTGCCTGAAGTGGGAGTGAAGAGTTTCCCAATTGGAATTGCCCTGAGAACCCTGAAGATTGATTATGCGTTCTCATAGAGGGATTCCCCGCAAGGCCTGAGCTAAAGTAGTCCGTGGGTGCTGTACACCATTGCTGTCTCGCTGCCTTGTTGAACAAATTAGGCTCGTGGTCATCACCGTTGGGACTAGTAGTGGAAGGAACAGTACTACTGATCCCCGTGGTGAGAAGCTCAGTGAAAGAAGCAGTTTGAGAAATGGAGTTATTCACATTGTGGGGATGGGCAGTGTTCTCTTTCTCCTTCTCTTTTGCCGCTCTCTCTCTTGCCCTCTCTCGGGCCTTCACTCGGTTTACTCGAATCTCAGACCTTGAGAGGGACAAGCCAGAACCTTTGCTTGTCTCGGAAGTGCTGCTACAGGCAGACTTAGACAAAGAAAGGTTCTGACTTTGAGTGTGATGATAATCACCCTCACCATCTTCCTCAGCATCAGCTGTATCAAACCTTTTCTCATCGCTGGGCTGCTTTGGGGTATCAGGGAATGTGGTGTTCAGAGACGGGAGCTCAGAAATGGCACCAGCGGCTGCTTTGATTAGCCACTCCACTGCTTTACTGGGTTGGTCGTAGCCAAGCCGATCTTGAAGATCATAGAACTGGATTGCTGTGGTTACCGAGAGCCTAACCCTTCGGTCTCTTAAACCCTTTGAAGTCATGACCTTGCTGTGCCGGTCTTTCCCTCCAGATGCTCGAGAAACCCTAATGATTCTTGAAGAATGTTGGTGCCAGCTATGGAAGCGGTTCGAGCTGACATCGCTAAATCCGCCTCTTCTTGTCAGCCCTCCATTGTCTTCGCCGTCTGGGCAATGCTCGATCCCTCTAGAACCTATCTTGCTGGAGTCGTTTCTGCCATTTCCGACTCTAGGGAATTTACACGCTTGTGCTTGAATCGCATCCTCCTCCATACCACAATCATGCCTTTTCCACACAAAATCTCGAGCTTGAACCTTATTTCCCCTTCTGTTCCCTACACTTCTATAGAGGAAGAGAGAGAAACATTCAAAGAAATTATATGGGGGGGTTATGGGTGATTAGAGCTAGCGCAGGGTGGGTTTGCTATGTCCTTTGCACTGATGACGATGATTCAGAGAGTACTCTGAAGAGAGATAAGAGACCTTTTTTAAGCGCTCCGATATATCACGGTCCAAGTCAGGAGGCCTTCGTTTAGGCTTTTTGCAGTTTGCAGAAATGCTTTCAAAGGCAAAGACTGAGTAGGTCTCAGAGCCTCGGCCTCAGCTCCTGCTAAACCCAGAAACAACCCACCCCCAAACCCCCCATAAAAAGAATACCATCAGATAAAGAAGCTAACAAAATAAAACAAACAAGCACAGCAGATAAGAAATACGTACAAATTCTCAGACTCGCTTATTACACAGCAGATAAGATCCGAGTATGTTTAACATCTAATGTTTATTAAAATACTTGAGCTACGGGGACTTTCCGAACTAAGACATTCTGCTTTCTTTTTAAGCTATGGAGAAAAATTTTCAAATAATTCACCTATCTGAGCCAACCCATTTAACTTCTGCAGTGCACATAACTTTCTTTCCGACCTTCGAAATATATCTCGTACAGTAGCTACGAGACTAACTCAAGCTTCGTGACTTACAGACCTAGTTTACATATTATGATTCTAACCAATATTTGATAAACTGCTCAAAACTTTTAAGAAAATGATCAATAATGTTAAGCTTCATTACTTTGAACAATGTTTGTTCGGAGTCTGTCTGTGATGTTAAGCTCGCAAAGTAAAACGCAGTTGGATTACACAATAGTGAGGATAATCCACAGCTCACAGATCTGTGAACCCGGAGTTTCATATAAAACAGAACATAAAATATGGAAACCCCCAAATGTAGGCTACTGAAAGCACATTGTACCCTCAGATCAGCTCTCAGTTTGTCACAAAAACAAACGTAAGAAATAGCTATCCCAATTTAAAATTCACATAGACTGGAATGAAAAATCAGTGGGAGAAACCAGAGAAAGGCATGAAATAGGCGGTAACGGTAGGGAGACAAGAACAACCTTTGCTGGCTGACTTTCAGGAACTAAGTTCCTTGTTGCGCTCTTGAATTTCCCAAACGGTCTTCCTTGCTTCTCAAGTGTGTACCTTTAAATGCACCAGAGAAAAAGTTCAGTCTTTTCGGTATTTATTTATTTATTATTTATTTTGTCTAAGAATCTAACTCTCACCCTTGTGTATGTCCGATAGACAAGAGAGAGACCCCAAATACACAACCAAAGCGGGCGCAATTATGTTAATGAAGTGAATTCGGGATTTGACTAACACTTGCAGTTGCTTTAATCTCTCTGAGCAGGTAACTATTCATAGAAGTGAAATTAAGAGAGAGGGGAAGAGAGTTCTAGGGTTGGTTGTTTGGCGGGTGAGAAACTGGGAAGAAAGTGAGGGGAAAATGCAGGTATATATAGAGGAATTGCGTGTTGTAGAGGGGAAAAGCAAGGTTGCTGTAAAATTGTGCCCTAGGCTGAAGAGGAAAGAAGGAAGGAAGGAAGGAGGAGGAGAAACTAGCTGGGATTGTTGAGTTCTTCCCCGGTGGAACAATGCCCTCGCTTATCGGGAAAAGCCAGACACTACGCCGTTCCACTGTTTATGTAGGTCCACTCTTTCACAATGGGACTCACTTTTTCTCCTATTTACTCATTTACCTTGTCCATCCCCATCCCTCATCCTTATTATCATCATATCATACCATGTTTCCATTCCATTTCTTCCTTTTCATCTCTTGCATTTATCTAAATTTAATTCGCTGAGTTTTAATCAAAATTTGTTCGAAATTGTATTTCCGTCTCTTAAAATTTAAACTAGAATTAATTAATCAATTTCGTGGCCAGTGAAATTAAATGTGGGGTAAATCGAATAAATTAAAGCTCAGAAAATTAAGGAACAAAATCAAATTTCCAAGAGGTGGGTCTCAGACGGCATGAATGCTTTTGTAATTTCACAGAGTTTCATATTTTTCTCTTGCAGCTTTGATACATATATACCACCTTCTTCATCGTAAAGAAGATTGCATTGCATGGTTAAATTATTTGTATATTTTGCATTGTATATACCATGTGAATTTCATCTCTAGCTCTTATGCTACATAACTATGACATAGAATGGATGGATGGAAGCCAATGAAATCCAACGTTGACAGTGAGGTTATTGATGGACATGTGAGTTGGAGTTGGGACTTGGGAGTCACAGGGGGCCACATTATTAGATATGGTGGCTACTAGTTGGTGTAGGTTTGAAGGAATCAATTCCCTGATGAATGATGACACCCAAATAAATGAAAGCAACGACTTTTACGGGTAAACAGTAAACATATGTGCTTATACAGGGGTGTACTTGAATGTTTCATCACCAACAGTTCCAAGCCTGGCCTGTTGTTTTCTCATAGTTAAGCTGGATGTGTGCATGTATATGTACACACTTTGTTTTTGTTTTGTACTATATATGTGAACTTTTATCATATATGCATCCCAATTATAAAGCTTTTGTAACAAATTGACAGCTTTAATAAATGCCCTTTCATTGCCCAAAATAATTGTCCTCTTGTATATGCCATCCACTCCACTCTAGCACTGCTTGCTGCCTAAATAATACTAGTGATTGAATAATTTCAAAACACCCTGTGCGATTTATGGCAGAGAAATAAATCAAAGCATAATTTCTTTCTTTCAGTTTATCTTGCAGCTAGCCGTTCTAATGTCTGATTGATTCGTTTTGGAGGCGCTTGTAATCCTTTTCAATCTATGTATGTATACCATTTTATATTGCAAGTAACTGATAATTTAGGGTTTGTTTTATTTTTTAGTATTTATTTTTAAAATTTATTTTATAAAGTTTTTTTTACGGGTTGTGTTTTGAAATAAAAAAAAAGAAAAATTCATTTAGTTATATTAATTTGAAAAGAGTTTTAAAGTTAAAATTTTTTTATTGAAAACAAACTTTTTGAAAAAATGTCTTTCGTCATTAATTATCGTTGGCTATTGCCACCGCCCATCGCCTTACTGTTGTTGCCATTGGCTACCATTGACCATTACCGTGAGCCACCTCCAGTCACCACTGACTACTAATTTTCACCATCAACAAATGGTGGTAATCGGAAGTGATCATTAATGATGACTCGCAGGGATGACAATGGCTGATGGATAGTTGCCAATTGTAATGGCTAACAGTGATGATTGATGGTGGTACCTACTTATTGTTGAATTTGAATTTAATAACTGTACTTAGTACATGTATTGAGTACCTATATGATGTAAACATTTAAAATTTATATCAATGTTCATGCATTTATATTTTGCTTGAAATTATTGAACGAGTGAGTTTATTTGAACTATTGAGATGAATTTTAATGGCTCGGATCAGTGTACTCCCTCCATTTAAAGATATAAAATATTTTTAATTAAATCTCACTTCTAATAAAATAGTTATTTATTTTTAAATTAACAATATTTTTTTATATTTACTCATATTTAATATAGTATTTTACTCTAAAATAAACATAAAGTGATTTATTCATTAATGTCAATTTAAAAAAAATAATTATATATTAAAATATTAAAAATATCTTATATTTTTTAATATTCACTATCTTAAAAATTGTATTACATTTCGTAAGGAAGGAAGTATCAAATAAGCTATGTTGCCAATGACAACTACCAATGGAGGCTAGTGATAGCGGGCTATGATGTGTAGTGGCAATATATACTAGTAAAGGTAACTTCTAGAATATGCAAAATAATGTTTTGATGCACTTGACTATTATTGATTACTTTGAAAAAAAAAAAACTGTTGTTAATTATGATTATATTTATAAAATTGTTCTGATCTGTATACAACAACATAGACGGTTATGATAATAGATTTGAGGAAAAAAAAATAATGAGCACCAAAGAAAAAACAAAGGCAGGGTGTCATGATTAACTAGAACTCGTGTTAAACCTTGAATTTACAGTATTGTCTCACACAAAGTGAGAGAGGCAAAAGAGCAATGAGTAGGGTAAAAGTTGAAGGCCACTGTTAATTTGAAATGCGATGGGTAATTGAATGTAATGATTTTTTTTTTTAAAAGGAGACATAGTACGGTAATAATCCAAATGGGCAGTGACATAGTGGGGGGGATAAAGCAGAGATATTTGAGGGCATAAAATATTTAATTAATTAAGGGGAATAAAAGGATCAATGTGGAAATGTCCGTACGAAATGATGCATCTCTGTTTGCTCCCCGCATTGATAATGACGGATTATGTATATAATTTGATTTGATGGGCCATCAGCACTGCACAACCCCACTGTGACTCCCTTCCTGCCAACCAACATGCCTTCCCCACTGCCTTTGCTCCCCCTCCCTCCTTTCTTTTATTATTACCATTGTTCCACTTTCTATCTCCTTTTGTTTTTTTCACACGTATTCAAAATAGGCAATTTTTTATTAGTTATTACGTTTTTAATTTTTTTATAAATCATTTTTATTAACTTTATCAATATTAATATAAAAAAAATTAAAAGTATATAAAATTTTAAATATATCTTTATATAATAAATTTAAAAAGTAATATCTTATTACTTTTTCTCTCTTATGAATGATAATTTTAAAAATATTTTTTAAATATTACCTAAAAAGTCACACCGTAATTTATAAATGGGATCAAATAAACTTTTTATAATGTGCATTATACATAGGATTTAAAAGAGTACACATTTGTATATTACATTGTGTGCACCATTGGGTTTACTATTCATTTTACTCCCTGTACACTTTTGTCTGGTTAAGTTTTAATTTTTAAATTAAAATTAATTATGTTAAAGAACATCACTCAAAAGTCAAATATATCAAGTCAATTCAATTATGAAATAATATCTACTCAAAATTAAAGCAATAGAGATATAGAAATGACGGTAAGATGATAGAAGGATCACTTTTGCGTTCCTCAATTCAAGTGAATTAATGTAAATGAGATGCCCTATTTATAAATACAGCCTTACAACTTAATTGACCTATCATGTTAAATGTGGAGTGATAAAAAAAATTAAGGGGAGATAAATGTCCATGAATGTAAATAGAGAAATGAAACACAAGAGTAATGGGAGATATAGCCTTTGAAGTACGTCAAGTGATAAATAATGAGATGGACATTCACATCCACACTCACAAATATCCATATTCGTGGAAATTTTTATATTATTGTAGATAGATATTATATTGCATTTTACACGCCTGCACAACTAGCTGGCTAGTTTCATTCAACATTTTATGGTCAAACAAAACATAGAGTACCAGAGCCAAATTAAAATTTTGGAGTCCGTAACTCTCTATAACATGCTTTTAATGTTATTATCATATCATATCATATCATGACACGATCACGATAATAAAGTGATTTATACTATAATTGGGATATAAAATAAGCAACATCTTCATACTTACACTTTTTTTTTGAGCAAACATACTTACACTTTCGTTAGTCAATATATTGGACATTACTTCTAAAAAATGGGCTGTAGTTATTATTATTACTATTATTTTGGTCCTATTTCGTAGTTATTATTTGATTACAAAATACATGACGAGTTGATGATTATTTATTGATCATCTCGTACTTTAATCGCAAAAGGGGGTGCCCCATCAAATTAATTTTATAGTTAACAGATAACCGTGGACACATTTTTTGGATCTCTGAAAGTATGTTAAGATTGAAGGAAACAAAAGAAGGGAAAAGCCAGTGAAAATCACATTCCGGTCCTGATTTATTTTATTTAAATTTATTCATGGAAAATGAATATGTATACGCGTATTTATATGTGTGTGTGATGGGGGAAAAAAAAAGTACATTCAACTGCAAAAGTCTTTTAAAAACATATCGAATTTAAGCTTTCGTATTTTTCCCTCTATGCTTGTATTTTATATCGCGCTGGATCGAACCAACCAGCCCTTACATGAAGAAGTAGATAACTAATGAATTTAATGAAAAATTAAGGAGAAAAAAAAGATAGTTATATCATGAGGTGTCAGGTGTGTATAATACAGAGAGGAGATATGATGGGTGAAAAAAGGTTAAGAATAAAGTGGGCATGGGACGATGGGAAATGAGGAGAAATATAATAAAAGAGAAGACAGAAAATGAGGAATCACACGCTGAAATCATAATCGTCGTACATTGGGCTTGGAAGAGCGAAGCTTTGAGGAGCACCAGAAAAGGAGATTGTGGATCAATATTGGATTCTCTATGGTGGAGGGTAGTATTTTAATGGCGTAGGAGATAAAATGAGACGATACAAACACATATTTTATTCATTCATGGACGATTCAACCTTGCGATGCAAGTATTGGCACACTCCATGTCCATACTATGTTACATTGAAATTGTTAATTAATTAATTAATGAAGGGCAATCCAATTTAGATGTTTGGTAATTAAGGTAAGAGAAGAAAAAGGTTGCGGAAATCAAAAAGGCAAGTGGGGAGCGACACGCTCGAGAGACAAGGCTGGCTGGGTTCTCTGTTCGGGAAGCACGGGCACGTGTCATCCCTCCATGCCCACTCTTCCCCATATCATATCCCCACTT